TGTGTGTGTGTGTGTGTGTGTGTGTGTGTGTCACTTTCCTGATGCTTCAGGTTTATTAAGCCCATTTCAATGAACAGTAAATCAGTGTCTCTTTGATTTGAGAAAACATTTTCTGTTTTAATGTTTTTGTTTTCGTGAATAGTTATAAAATAGCATCTTGACTTCACTTTGTTTCTCGTTTTTTATATTTTAAAATGTCTAGGTTTAGAGTTCTCTCCTTTAAATGTCTCGCCATAATATTGACATACCACCATATATTTACGTCCTTTTATTTAAATTTTGAAGGTGCGGAAGTTCAGTAAGCATTGTCGAAGTTGTGACAAATGTGTTGATGGATTTGATCATCATTGTCGGGTAAGCTGTGCTTTTAATCCCACCCTAAGTCGGTTAATGGGTATTTTAAATACTCAATTTTGTAGTGTCTTGTCTGAGGTATAGGTCGGCTTTCATAACAAAAAAATAATGTTCATAAAAGTAATAGTCAGGTCAATCTTTTAAATTCTCACTTGTACACACACTTATTAGTGTTCCTTTCAGAAATGATTTTTCCCCTCTTCACTCCATTGAGAGTGATTGCTTGTTTGATCGTCTCCAATGACAGTTATTTTCTTAAAAGTTATTTTTCCTGTAATACTTGGAAGCTGCAATGCAGACTGTGGATTTTTACAATAGAATTATCTAGAAGTTTACTATAGCTTTGTTATGTTTGGGACTTGAGATGTGAGCAGCCATAAACTTGTCTTAACTTGCTCAATTTTCTTCTTTAACCATTAGATTCTTCAAATATTCATTATCATCTACTTCCTTTGTTTTATTCAGTGGTTGAACAATTGTGTTGGAAAGAAGAATTACATCACGTTTGTGTGTCTTATGGCAGTGAGCCTTGTTTGGGTAAGTTGCATAAAGATGCTCATCTTGAATCTTGTTTTACCCCCTTTTGTCCCTTTTATATAGAAAAACCTTTCAGATTAGAACTTGTTTTTCTTACTTAATGCTCACGCATGTCACAGCTTATTGTTGAATGTGGAGTTGGGATTGCAGTGCTTGTCAGATGCTTTGTTGATAAGAAAGGTACAGAGCACCAGATAGCTGAAAAACTCGGAGCTGGATTCTCCAGGGTCCCATTTGCTACTGTAGTGGTACATTTGCTCTCTTTTTTTAATTCTCTGTTTTTATATAGGATAGACTGAAATAAACTTTACCAGACCTGCTACCTTTGTATTTCTCATGAGTTCTATTTGCAGTAATGATGATGAGCCTTGTACGGGCATTCAATATAGTTTTTCATGTGCATCTTCTATTGACGCATGTCTCATGTATAACTTGAAACCCTGGATTCTGTCAACTGATGTGTGCCCTTATTTGGCATAAATGTCAAATTATGGATTTTGACTTCTCTATTGTAGATAATGTGTTTTTTGATATGAAACATTCAACTGAATCTCTGAAAATCTTTATTTTAAATAATCAGTTCTTCTGTTGTTTAGTATTCCTGATTTGAAATTGTCATTTGTGTTTGCTGAAAATTATTCAACGTAAACTGAAAGTACTCATCGTTATCCAGTCTTTGAGCAACATTAACTAGTTGAGCGGTTAATTATTCCCAAATGATGATTTTTTTCCAATATTTTCTTCGTCTTTATTTTAACTTCAATAAACTTTGAATTGCTATGTTTTACATAATTTTCAAACCTTTACAGGCCATATGCACGGCAGTTTCATTCCTTGCAACTGTGCCTTTGGGAGAATTATTCTTTTTCCATATGATCCTGATACGGAAGGTATATTCGCGAGCTTTCCTCCTATTGACATGTACATTCGAAGTTGACATTTTCTTTTACAGGGTATAACAACTTACGAGTATGTTGTTGCCATGAGAACTCTAAGTGAACCACCTGGTCCTTCAGTTGATGGAGGTGAACAACAGAGTCTACCATCATCTCCTACTAGTTCAGCTGTCACTGCAATGAGTGGAAGAAGCTCCGTTGGAATGAGTTTGCAGTACAAAGGGGCCTGGTGTACACCTCCAAGGATCTTTATGGATCATCCGGTACTGCCATCTCTGTCTAATTGCCTGAACCATATGACCAGCAATTTCATTGAAAGATATATAACCCATTTATGAACATTACATACAGACAATAATGGTGATAGATAGGAGAGGAAAGTTGAGTGGAACAGACATTTGCAAGACACTGTATGACATAACACTTTAATAGAAGAAGCCCTTGTACTTTCTAACAGTATGTTTTATATTTTTTAGTAAGTATGCATTTCCGTGGTTAGAAATAAAAAACTGCTAGAGTTGAACAGTTGAAGACACGAGTGGTGCATTGTTTAAAGCATGCCAAATAAAAACTGTCATAACAGCTACTATGCTTATTCTTAGTTTCTGAAATAAATTAAGTTCTGTTTTACGTCGATTAACTATCTGGTCTTGGATAAGCAGGATGAAATTATACCACATTTGGAGCCTGGACGACTACCATCCACTGTTGATCCAGATGCAGTACAACAACTACCTGACAAAGGGAAAAAGTTGAACCAGCGCCCTGTCCGGATAAGTGCATGGAAACTTGCGAAATTGGATTCTAATGAGGCAACAAAGGCGGCTGCTAAAGCTAGAGCATCATCGTCTGTGCTACGTCCAATTAGTTCTCGACCTCATGCATATGACGTCGATCATTTATCCAGCAGCAATGTGAGTGGAAGAAGCAGCCCAATTAGCAATCAAGGATTTCAGAACAAATATGACACTGCGGGGACATCAAGGTTATCTCCTTCCAAGAGCTCATACGCTCCTAGCCAAGCGAGCAAGGATGATATAGATGCATCATGTCATCACAGTATGAGCAACTTCAGCAGTCCACTGGTCTCAAACCTTACTCCTTCACCAATGCAGAAGCCTAGTTTGAACAGAGACCATTTCAACCCCATGTATCAACAACCATCGGGAAACCAGTCTCCTTCATCAGCCAAAGAAAGTGAGGGGAACACGAATCCAGTTCAAGAAAATGTGGCACGCGTTCCAATGAGAAGCAACTGCTTAGCTGTTTCAGATAATAGAAGATCGTCCGTGTTCTGGGACCAAGCTGCCGGACGCTTTGTGTCATCTTCGTCTTCATCAAGAGGTCCTGGCAGTTCCCAGATATCTGGAACAGAGTTATTATACACTGGTCGATCTATATTTTTTGGCAGTCCCGTTGTGAATGAACAGCCAAATACAGGAACAAGAGTTAGCAGCTCAGTAGCTGGTATTCCTGATAGAGATTCTACTTTAAGGGATTTTCAGCAGGGTAGATCACATAGAGGTGGCCAGCTTCCTGTGTTTGTTCCTGGTTATTCCCAGCAAAATAAGTTCCCCTAGATTGCCTCACTTGACCATTAATTTGTTACGGCAACTATTTCTTATCCTTTTTTAATTTTAAAGAAATTCTCCAAACATGTTATCTTGCGCTTTTGGTTGTCCGTCATTTGACTTCTTTCCCAGCTATGACTGAGCATTCGTCTTTCCATCTGTACAGACTAATGGATCACCACCCTTTTCTGTACAAATATATTTGTTCACTTCATTGCATTTCAAGTATCAATTCGAACGTGGATATGAACAACATTTTATTTCTCAAATCAGCACCTTTTGGCTTATTACTGTTTGTTTCTTAAATTGAATTGTTTTGGATTTTCTATTTTATTTTAGATAAAAGGTAACAGGTGTACTCTGAATTTGTTTTCACATGGAAACAAGAACATTTTTGCATGGCAATGGTTTTCTAAGTACGTAATCGTCTCCCTCCTTTGTTAGTATATCATTATATAATTAATATTGTTCCACATTACTTCATTAATATTAAAATGTTTCCAAAAAATCTATAGACGTGTTTAAGTTTTTGGGTCATGCTAAATTAAAAAGTTTACCAATAATAATAATGAGTAGAAATATTATTATTTTTGGTGGGGGAGTATGTAATTTCACGTAGAACACTAACATTATCCACCAATTTTTATTTTTTTTATTCTGTTTTGTGTGAAAAAAATTATTATGGTTTACATTGAAAGTTTTGATTGATCGCAATTTGTAGGTATATTATTAAAAAACTAGAGGCGGGGGAGAAAGTTAGAAGAATAAAATTGGATGGCAAATCCTGAGTTGTTCCTCTCCTTACACATTTGGGATAGTTGTTAGAATGTTGCATGCATGCGCAACAACGTACCAAAGCACTTCCATGAGCACGATGACCTTCTTCCAAAATTTCATCTTCAACAACCCCTCTCATAATTGAATTTTAACTCTGCAAATCACAAACGAATTATCAATCATCACCGTCGCGAATTCAGTAATTGAATACGTATGTCGGGAGGAGGAGGCGGTGACAACAGGCAGCTAGATCTCACGCCAACATGGGCTGTGGCTGCGGTTTGTGCAATTATCGTCATCATTTCTATACTCTTGGAAAAACTCATACACAAATTTGCAGCGGTACTACCATAACAACAATGCATACATTTTTGTTCACGGATTCCTTCGTCATGGATGATAACAAATCTCCTTTTTATTGGTTTCAGGTGTTTGAAGAAAAAAAGAAACATGCGTTTGCTAGAAAGCTCTTGAAAAGTTAAGGCCGGTGAGCAAACCTCATTAAATAGGAATGTTTCTAATGTTTTTTTTTGTTCGTCCCCATCAGTAATGAATTCTTGTGTTTGTTTGTTTGTTTGTTGGCATGCAGAGCTTATGGTTTTGGGATTCATTTCGTTACTTTTAACGTTTGGTCAAAACTACATTTCTAAAGTGTGTATTCCCCAAAAGTATGCACACACAATGCTACCGTGTCTTCCCCCTGAACAACGTGGAGGGGGTGCAGCAGCTGAACACGGAGCGGGTGCCGCAACCGATCACGGAGCGGGTGCCGCAACCGATCACGGAGCTGGCGCTGCAGCTGAACTTGGTGGGGGTGGTGCAACGGAACATGGAATTGAACCTAAGACAGATGATGATGGCGGTGAGGGTGGCGGTGAGGCTGGTGGTGAGGGTGGCGGTGAGGCTGAAGGGGGTGGCCATCGTCGCAGACTTTTTGCATACGAGCGTAGAGTTCTATCTGGTGGTGGTGGAGGCCCCAGTTGTAAACCGGTACTCAACTCTTCAATTTTTTTTTAATAAAGAATAAGAAAATCTTTCTTTCCATAGATCTCTCAAGTTTGTGAAAAGCTCATGCTACTGAATGTTGGTTGTGTAGGGGTACCTGCCTCTTATATCAGTGAGCGGGTTGCATCAGTTACACATTTTTATATTCTTCTTGGCTGTCTTCCATGTGATCTACAGTGCCATAACAATGACCCTTGGAAGAGCAAAGGTTGGTATTGATTCAGGCCTAAAAATGTTGATTCATTCAAGGAATCAACAATAGGTAAACTAATGGAGGAATCAGTTTTTAATTTCATGTATGGTAAAGCGTTTTTTTTTCTTCTGACAGATTCGTGGGTGGAAGGTATGGGAGGAGGGACCATGTCGTGGATGAAAGATGCCCTGAATGGTACAAGCAATGAATCGTTAATAAGTTTCATTAGTACTAATTCTCCATAATTTGAACATTCTGAATTGGATGTGTAATATCTGTTCAGATCCTAGAAGATTCAGACTTACTCACGAGACATCATTTGTGAGGGACCACAGCAGTTTCTGGACTAAAACACCAGTTTCCTTCTATTTTGTAAGCAATGATCACTGGCAACTCTTTTTCGTGTACTGGATTGTTACTTTATAGAGGGAATCAGCCAAAATACCTCAAACCTAGGTTTTTTGTGTTCACTTTAGAGTATTGAACATACAGAATACCATGATAGATGGGGAACGAAAATGTGATATTAACATCACAATTTTAGTCGTTTCATGTCTTGCTTTAATTCACTTTCAAAAATATGTTGTTGATCAATTTTCAGGTATGCTTCTTTCGACAATTTTTCAGATCTGTTCGTAGGGCTGACTACTTGACCATGAGACATGGATTTGTTTCTGTTAGTAATTTTCTCTGTGCAACAACATCAGTATTATATGCCCGCACTGTTGTCTTTTTCATTAACTGATAATGTATGTCCCGTTTCCCTTTGCAGGTCCATTTAGCACCAGGAAGTAAGTTCGATTTTCAAAAATATATCAAGAGGTCATTAGAAGATGACTTTAAGGTAGTTGTAGGAATCAGGTAATTTTGACAAGTTCACCATGACTTTGGTTTTTTGTGTTATAGTAATTTAGCCTCGTAGAGTCATATGGTTTCTTCTAATGGTTACACATGTGGTTTTGGCAGCCGATACTTTGGGGATCAGTAGTGTTATTCTTGCTTGTGAATGTCCACGGTTTGTTTCTTATTTCTCACCTAATTATCCAATTGGCTTCCCTGTTTTGCACTCAAGTTATTACTGAAAGAAATTGGTAACTACTTTCCAGGATGGCATGCTGCCTTTTGGGTGTCTTTTCTCCCTCTATTGGTTAGCAGACATATCTTCACTGTCAATTTGGTTCTTTTCAGTTTAGATGAAAAAACAATAAGACTAATGATTGATTAACTTGAAGGTGATTCTGGCTGTTGGAACAAAACTTCAAGCAATTATTACTCGGATGGCACTTGACATAAAAGAAAGGCATGCTGTAGTGCAGGGGATCCCTCTAGTGCAAGTGTCTGACAAATATTTTTGGTTTGCATGGCCTCAGTTAGTTCTTTATCTCATCCATTACGTCCTCTTTCAGGTACTCACCCTTTACTTTTTTTTACAGATTTCTGTCATTATATCTTCCTTTTTTAACAGTTCAGTATCTTATAACAAATGCATACATATCTGAGATCCTGAATATTCAAACAATTTCTCACTACTTGATGCTTGGTTTATCATTTCCAGAATGCTTTTGAGCTGACATACTTCTGGTGGACATGGGTAATAAAATAAACACTCCATAATTCCAATTGTCTTCTTCTCACCATTGTGCTTTTGATTGATTCTACAAACCTTAAACCACTTCCTTCTGGCGCAGTATGAATTCGGTTGGGCATCTTGCTTTTACGAGGATGATAAACTCATGATCGTCAGAGTAGCTCTTGGGTAAGTCCTGTTCCATTTAACGAACATATTCCTTTATGTAAGTAACATTTTCAATTGCCATATCAAACCGATACATACAGCCAGATACCATTGCAGTATTTTTCAACACATGATCCCATCACACATTGAATAGTTTAACCTGAAATTTGCAGGCTGGGAGCTCAAGTCGTTTGCAGTTATGTCACACTTCCACTCTACGCACTGGTTACTCAGGTGCATTCGCTACATGCTTCATATGATATTGTTATTTTGGCTTGATTAAATTTTTGCAATTTCACAAAATTTCCTCCTTTTCTTTGTTTTTCCAATTTGTACTTATCGCAATATCGGCTCATTAATTAATTTGAAAAGGTGAGGAGGGAGAAGTAACTGTGTTTGGTGATTGAATTTGTTCCAGATGGGGTCGACGATGAAGAAGTCAATATTCGATGACCAAACATCGAAGGCGCTGAAACAGTGGCATAAGAATGCTCTGAAGAAGAAAACGTCAAAAGGACGCCACGAAACTCGAACGTTGGGTGGGAGCCCGGGAGAACATACACCGGGACATTCTTCACCGCACCCACCACCGCCCAAAGACACGGAAATGGCTTCTCAGACCGCCACCATCGTCACCAGCGTTGATAACGAAACCTATGATAATCGGGACCTTCTGAGTGGACCGTGACACGTGTCTAAATCTGCTGCAATGTAATTAAAAACACTACAATGCATCGTCATTTCACGGCTTTGTTTTACATAGCTTAAATAGAATTAGTTATTGTATTAATTATACTGTAGGTTTATAAAATTCTCACACACCATGTATAAAAGTATGTATATCAAAATATGTATTTATGTGTGTTAGCGCAATTATTCTCTGTTTAACAACCAAATCTATTGCTTAAGATCAAAATTAACTCAGTAAATTAATAGCCAGAAATAGAGAAAAGGCAATGGGTAATTTTAGCTCCTGGGAGAAATGAAGAGTGGATAATAGGCTAAAGAAAAAGCAAAGCATGTGGCGCGCGCGGAGAGAGAGAGAGAGAAAGAGAGAGAGTTTTGGCCAATGACTTCGTCTTGCGCTTTGCGCTTGCGCTTGCGCTTCTAATTCAACAAATTGGAGCATTGATTATGGAGATGCAATGCTTTCAAATTCAAAGCGAATCAGGTCAACGAAAATCGCCATGCCACACTCAGTTTCTGGTTCCAGAAGATCCACGGCGCTTCTCATTTCATCGTTGCCGTTCACCTTCCTTTTGCTCTCTCCGCCGGCGGAGGCCAGGCGCAAACAAGAAGGACAATTCCCCAAGAGGAATACCTCACAGCTCGTTAGTTCGTTCCTCTTTTTCTATTTCCTTTTCATCTAAATCT